ACTCCTTATATACGAGTTGGTGGGGGGGGGGGGGGGTCTTGGGCCGAAATAACCTTGTCCCGGGCGAAGTTGGACAGAAATCACGCCACCAGCGGCCAGCCCAGCGCTAGGCGCTGTAAATTTGGAGCACACTGTCTCTGGCGCCACAGGTAGCGCTAGGCGCTGGCTGTGGCACTAGAAATTCCCTTTTTTGCTTTTTTCATCTGTTTTGGCTCTAATCTCGCACCTTTTGCCCCCAGTTGCTCCCGGATCATTCCTACACATAATAACACCTCAAATTAATATAAATCAACACAATTTAGATCCTAAATCCACGAAACAAAAGTAAAACATGAGGCAATATACATATAAATATACATACTTTAAGCTAAACATCAGTCCTAAAATGTGATTTGTTTTTAATCTCTTTACTTTCAGAGCTGTCTACACCATTCTGAGGACAACTCCGCGAGAGAACAAATGTCTGAAATAGAGAAGAGATTTGCTGATACATTTTTGTATTGGGCAACTCAAAAAGGGAGGATTAAGGATGGGAAGTTTCGAGGACATGGAATGCAAGTCGGAGATAGTATTTCAGGTCCAAGGGCAGACTTATCTTCTGCTGAAGTCAAAGAAGGATATGATTTTCTCCTTTCACTGGTTCCAGGAAGGTGGTCTTTACCAAATTTATGAAGTCCATTGTTTCAGAAGTTCATTGACAACATCCTTCAGAAAGAGTTGAACAAGTTTGATCATCTAAACAAAGAGCTTCTAGTCCTTGAAGAAAGTCTAAAGTATCTCAAAACCTTCCTCAATTTCATAAAAGATGCAAGCATGGAACTAGAGAAATCAAGAATTCTCTTTAATCATATGGAAGTTGTCACTCGGAATGCTGCTTACATATGTTACCTGTGTTATGTGGAAGAAATGGACGAAGACCCGGCATCTCGCTCAACACTTCAGATCTCAAGCGCTTTGCAAGATATTAAGCCCATTGAGCCCCAACTTGCGAAAATTTATATAGGAGCTCTAAGATGTTTGATCAAATCACAAATCCAGTATAACCAGGATGTAATAAAATTTGTTGAAGATCCGTTCATTTTCTCTTGAAGGATAACTCAGAGTTATTAAATGGTGGGGCATGTTCTTCGAGGCTTCCTTCTTTGAAGAATCAAACTGAAAGCATTTTCCAAGATTGCTAACTTTGCTTATCTATCCGCCTGATGATCTATATGCTGACCAAGGGAAATTGAGTGATATACTTACTCGCACTGAAGATCTTATTGCTGAGGTAAAGTCTGTTGCTAACACTTTTTCTGATGACAAAGCAGCTGAAGTTAACTTGGTATTTTCTGACTTGTTAAGAAAGATTGATCATGTCATGGAAGATGTAAAAGACGTTATTTTGAGAGCTCCAGTGCCATCAACATGTAATTTCCCCAGGATAAATGGATTAGTCTTTATTGACTCCCTCTTAGACTATCTGAAAGAACTGCAAGATGGAAAGTGTTATTCTGTTTTCAAGCATCTTATTGCAGAAGCTCAGGAGGAGTTAACTATGCTAAGATCATTCTTGGGGGAAGTTGTGAAGCAACGGCATGAGTTTGAGGAGGTGAAGAAACATGATCTTTTGACAAAAGGCATATCTCTACCATATCATGCAGAATGCATAATTGATTGCCTTGTTATGGGAGATTATCCTGTTTGGTATCTGCATTTGTTAAGTAGGATCACAACAGAAATTAAGCTTGTCAAGGATCATTTGAAAGAGTTCTAAGCTACGATTGTGCAAGAAGTCAATGTCCCTTTGGAAGAACAAGCACCAAATCCTGTCCGGCAAGTAGTTGAAACTACACAACTTGATGAAGTAGTGGTGGGTTTTGTTGAAGAGGCAAACACACTAATCGAGCGGCTCACTAGAGGACCAAAGTATTTAGATATTGTGTCCATTGTAGGGATGCCTGGTCTTGGAAAGACTACACTAGCAAAGAAAGTTTACCATGATGAGAACATAAGACACCATTTTGACGTCCAAGCTATGTGTTGTGTTTCCCAAATTTATGACAGGAGGAAGTTGTTGCTTGGAATTTTGAATCAAGTTAAAAGTTCCAACAAGTAGAATGAGAAAATCCAGCAGATGCTTTGCGCAAATCTTTAATAAGAAAGAGGTACCTTCTCTTCATTGATGGCATATGGAGCGTTAACACATGCCCACTGGACCTATATAAAGTAGGAGAAAACATTGCTAGGAAGTGCCAAGGGCTGCCTTTCCTGGTGATTTTGGTAGCTGGAGTTTTGTCTGGGATAAGCAAAAATGAGGAAAGTTGGAGAAAATTTGCAGAGAGTATAAATTTAGATACTGTCACTAGTGCAAAAGAGTGCTTGGATGTAATAGAACTGAGCTGCAAGCAGTTGCCAGATCATCTTAAACCCTGCATTTTGCATCATTTCAGGAGGATGAAGAAATTCCATTCTCTAAGTTGGTGTGGTTATGGAGAATTGAGGGATTGACTCCAAACACAGAGGCAGCGAGTGTAGAGCTTATTGCAGAAGATTTACTGAATGATCTCATTGGTAGAAGCTTGATAATGGTGAACAAGAAAAGGTCCACTGGAGTCGTCAGAACATGTCAAATTCATGATATATTGCACAATTTTTGTGTGACAAAAGCTAAGGAAGAGAAGTTTATGCAGATAACAACTAGTGAGAACAAGGATTTGACTACCTCCTTTTCTGAGCACCGGAGGCTGTGCATTCACCATAGCCTTTATTGGGCAGGGACGATTGGAAACCTGCAAGCTAGTTCCGCGTTCGTCAGAACCCCCCCCCCCCCCCCCCCCATATGGCTGCCAAGAGAACTTTAAACTCATAAGAGTTTTACATATAGAAGGTCTTGTGTCAGACAGTCCTTTGAAGTTCTTTGGAGTCAAAGGATTTGTGGAGTCTATGCCATCATGGATATCAAACCTTGAGGTTTTGCTAGTCGTAACTGTAGGCAGTGGGACAATGTTTCCAATGACCATCTGGAACATGCCAAGGTTAAAACATGTGCATATAGAAGCCGTTGCATCTTTTGATGGACACATTCCTCGCAAATCAACAAACTTATGTTGCTTAGAGACCTTGGCCACTGTGTCTCTCACTAATAAGCTAGCAGACAACATGATAAAGAAGGGGACCAGACTGCGAAAGCTCAAGTGCCACGGTAAAGAGCCTCTCCAACTCAAATTAGATGCTCAACTTGAATCACTCAGTGTGAATGATATGATCTTGGAATTCAGCTTGCCCAAGACACTAACAAAGCTAACTCTATCAGATGTTTTGTTGCGACAATGGGATATGTCTAATAACGGGAGATTACCAAAGTTAGTGGTTCTCAAGTTGGAGCATAGAGCATTTCAGGAAGGAAAATGGGACATTGAAGATGAAGAGTTTCACGACCCTTAAGGTTCTTAAATTGAGGTCCCCCAGAATCAAATAAGGGAATGCCTCAGATGAGTCCTTGCCAAACCTCGAATGGCTTCTGGTAGAAAGCTGTTTCCATCTTCAAGAAATCCCTGCTGCCATTGCAAGCATAAAGAGGATTGAAGTGAAACGATGCGGTGATTCTCTTGAAAAATCAATGAAGATTTGAGGAATAGCTAGACTATAACGGAAAGGCAATTGAAGACGTTGTTTACGCCTTAGATTAGTCCGCCTGACGTGCACATAAAAGCTGCAACACTGGTTCAACAGGTAAGTGACACAAGCTTATTTGCATTATCTCCTGAGCTTGTTCACAAAAGATTTTTACCTTAGTAAAACATACCTGAGAAGTGTTTCTTTTCTGTGCAGAGGTGAAAGACTGCAAATGAAAGATAGAAATGAACAACTCAGTCGAGCAACTGCTGGTCCTAGTTTCAAACTGCCTCTGCAAAAATTGAAGCAATTCGTGGAAGGTACTCTTAGTTGAGACCAGAAGGTTGAATCTGGCCTGTAAACCGAGAAATTTGATAAACATCCAAGACTAGGAGGTACTAATCCATGAGATTACATGTTAGCCAACACAGAAGTTTGCAGGCTAAACCAAATTAGATTTTGCAGTTTCAATTGCAGTTTCAATTAGATAAGCTAGTAAACAAGCCTATCAAGGAGAATCAGAGAATCAGATTCAATATGGTGTCACATAACTTCTTGACCATGTTTACTGATTTTCTTGCTCAACATATCTTATAGAAACTTTCATGATAATGGAGGAAGGGGTAGAGCTTTCACTGAAATATAGCCGCGCTTCTGAATTGGGATAATAAGCAGTTCAGAGAAGCTATAGAGGAACCATCTATTCACCGGTTGGCTGAATGAGATTCAAGCAAACAGCAATTGCCTAGCAAATTGCATCATACCTTCATCTTTTTGTTGAAAAAGGAAATTGTCAGTAGAAACCTTGTACATTGGTCTAATAGGTTGTCACACACCATAATTGTTCACGCTCCTTATTTGTAATTTATTGAAGCAAAGTTCAGCTGGAACAGTAGTATTATTCACATTTACACAATAAAAAAATAAAGGAAAGGATCCACCTTTAGCTTGCACGCTCTCATACTCCGTGCACACCTATGAAGGCCAATATAAAACGTCACTCCCCAAATGAATGATGTTTGCAGGAAGAAGTGAGCAGCAAAATGTTTGAAGGACACAAAGTTGTGGAAATCATAGCTTCATTGCACTCAGCAGTGGAGTTAGAATATCAGAAAATTTCAAGAATGCCACGGTTGGATGTGAACTTATAACCTGAAGCAACTTTTAAGCCACCTTTGCCACTCCACTAGCATCTTCCCTTTTGTCAAGAGAATTATTTTACCCTATTTGCGCAATATAAGTTTCTGACGACGGCCTTTCAATTTACGCCCCTTGCATCCACCTAACTTTGCCCCTGATTGCACTGATGACAAATTAGCATCTTCTTTAGGTGATAGAATGGATTCCAGTTCCATCTCCTGCTGAGGCAATAGCAATGACCACGCCGGTACCCAGGTGGCTGCTGGTACTGTTTTCTGTAGATCCCTCAACGGATAAATCATTCGGTTTTTCATTTCTTCAGTAGCAAAATCTTTTCCAGCACATAGAACCTAAAGAAAAAAGCAAAACTTATTTGACGTACGATCGTTGCAAATTATTTCAACAATTTGAAACTATTTTACCTATCTACTTCTTCGATTAATGTTTATGTTATTTTGTATCAGAAATTCGTTTTGTATGTGCTGTAAGTGGTATAGAGCTGATAGACAAATTACTAACATACAACGGAAATTACTAAATAAGATTTTGTATTACTTCATTAATTTACTGGATAAAAAATAAGCATCAGATTTGAGAATATTTATATCAGGAACAAATGAACAACTCAATCTGGCATCTATAGGTTCCGATACCGAAATAACCTCTGCAAAAACTGACAAAACTTTTGGAAAGTGCTCATATTTGGGACCCAAAAGTTCTCTGTCTGACCTGCAAAGCGAGAAAACTTTTTAAAACGTTAAAGACGAGAAAGAAATTGATTTAAGAGACAACATATTAGAGTTTGCAAACTTTAGCTGGTGATCAATTTGGTGAATGGAAAAATAGACAAATCATAGTAACAACCACCAATAAGATGATCAAGTCAACCCGACAAATGCTACAAAGATTATAGTTTAATAATTCATCTAACATTAGAAAGAACATGGTACTCTTTTAATTTAGCAGAAAAGCCTTCTGTCAAGATTGAAGATTGCAACGGCTAATCAAATTCTGTTTTTCCAAATGTAACAGATATTTTCTAGTTGCACCATCATAACTTTGAAAATAGACACAATACTATAATACTACTTCAAGCATTTTGTTTGGCTAATGGCCGCGTAATTTTCCTAACATATATCTGAAATTAGGAAAGTTGTTTGGAACATATGCATCATGCATGCTATTATAAGAACACTCGTACTTTAATCTATGGAGAATATTTTAAATCATATGTTGCTATTTTGTGATCCTCTTTTTTTCTAGTTATACAATTGATACACCAAAATTTGGAGTAATCTGAAACAATTGCTGAAAGCTAGTTGGCCAACAAATGTGTTGACAAAAACCCAAAACAATTGAATATTTGAAATTAGTAAAGATAGGTTGTCATTAATAATCTTGTAACCTGCCTTGGCAATCAGTAGTCTTAATAAAAAGAAAATCTGAAAAGTAAAGTAAAGACCAGACGAGATGATGATAGAAACTAGAGCAGAATAGTCCAGTACAGTACCTTTCGACCATTGAACAGAGCTGGTCGTGAACAACCATGTTACCTCTTATAGGCAGACAATTCAACCAAGCCGGAATAATCTAGCAAAAAATATGGAATGAGAAATATATGGAATCTCAACAAGTTATGGAGTACATTGGAGGAGCATCATTTCATCTTGGAAGAACAAAAGCGACATGTTTTACCAAAATTCAGATATGATGAGCATATGCACAAAAGGTGTAAACAAAAGTAATACTCCTATTCAGTTGTACTAACCACCAAGCACCATGTTAGCAATCCAGTTTCTTCAAAACATGAAAAGTACTGACAATGCATGTTATACATAAAAGTGTTTTATGTTTCCTTTAAAGACATAAAAGTGTCTAAACTCTCCTTTTCGTAAGCTGACTAAATACCCTCAGCTAAAGGATAATTAAACTATATAAGTTGGAATGTAAACCAGCCACTAGAATTTATATATCTAAATTGGAAAGAAGTTGGAATCACAGCATATATGCATCTAGATAAATATTTTCCCTTGCTTTCAACTAAAAGATTAAATAAGAATTATAGAAGATTCTTGTAAATCACTATATGAGGGGTTAAAACGAGCACCATGTATCTATCTTCCTAGTTTATTGCAATCATTTATCAGGCTGGTATACTGACTTTCAGATTTTAAAATCTGCAAGACAAAAAGCTGGTTATCGCAAGTGTTAAAACTGTTAAATACATTAGGGATTCACAAAAAAAAACCTGTGTGGAGTCAATACTTTCCCGATGAAACTGACATATCTGACCAAGTGCAAAAACAGCATCATGATATGCCTGTTCATTCTCAGGTGCAAGAGCATGTACATGTGTTATCACAACATTGATCCTTGAAAGAGCCTCTGAATCACGTCATGAGATTTAGTAAATACAAAAATATATCAATCTTCGTCCACTTCCCCATGATGAGAAGAATCTCAATATCATATTCAACGATATCATACCTCCGATAAATGGTTTGAAAACTGAACCACCATATTCCGCACAAAGCCCAAGTCCATAAAGTGCATTCTGAACATGAAATTAAATGGTGTTTGAATAAATCATACAGCAAATGTCACATGACTGAACTATCCCAACCACCAAGATGCACAAACCTCTCTAAGAACTGGATTTTCGTCGTTGCTCGAGTCCAAAATAAAAGGAAGGCATATGTTATAATACCTGGTTTGAACAGAAAGTAACTATCAGAATTGTGACCTTATTTAAGAAAAAAACTCATAAAGATAGACCTACTTTAGAGATGATTCGCTGCATTCCTCCACAAGTTTATTAAAGATATTTACACATGCACTTCTCTCTTTAGCTGTTTTATCCTTGCCCTTCAAGCAGTGAAAAAAGAACACTGAGAAATATTGGTGGAAAAACAACCTAGGCAATGTCATTGGTTACCATGAGCTGAAACTCACTGTCATAGGCATTAGATATGAGGAAAGCTCATCAAGGAAAGGCAAGAAAGCAGCCTTGAAGGTTTTGATCAATGTCAACAATATGCAACCAACCCTAGAAAATACTTTTTCTTCTAGCTCTCTTTCCTCCCTCAGCAATTCAGCTTCCTCAGCATCAAAGTCATCTGATTTTTCTCTCTCTGTGAGTTTTCCTTTTCTGCATGAACTTTCTGTAATGATGTGCTTTATCCCATTCATGATTCTACGAACCTGATCTTCATCGAGATGTGGTCCACTTATCTGAAAGAACAAACAAAAGGACCATAATAAGTGAAAAGTTGTTCCAATAAACGTAATTTCTACAACAAGTGTCATTTCTTGCTTTGACAGTAATCGTGAAACATTTCAAAAGTTGGCTTAACAGTGATATACTGGAACAAAGTTTCTCTACGGAGTCAACTACTACATGGTCAATAATCTGTTCGTCAGTCTTGCCTATTCATGTCAAGGGAACTTTTGTATATATGGGATTTATGGTAAATTCTAGTCCACGCTTCAGTTCTTAAACATTTTATTACGGTCCAAGAATGTCTTTTTGTAGGAATAACCATGAATTCTGCATGCGCCAAAGAATCAAGTCTGGAGCTCCTATTTTACTTTATCCTTGAAGATCTTACACCATGCAACTCATTACTCTTGTCTTCAGGTCTTGCTATGTAAAAGATTGTAAGTACTAAACGTTCTTTTGCTTCTTGTAGAATATCATTCTCACGAGCTGGGACAAGTGTGTTGCTTATCATAATGGACATAAAAAGCTCAAAATATAGCATAGCACCATCATAGAATAAGAAACTGCATAGAGTCAATTCCCGCAAAGTAAGGAAACCATGATAACATGACGCACCTTTAGGCATTGATTCAATTCCTTCAATATAATTTCACATAGTTTAGTCTCATGCTCCTGCATGCAATAGCAATCAAAGTGTCACTTTCTCCTTATTCAGATAAATGGAGCTCAAACCTTTTACCTAAAGGAAAAAAAAAAAGGTAAATACTAATGTTGAAGGCAACCGAATATATTGCGTCCCCCAAAGCCAATATTATACGGCCAGACAACTCCTTGAAGTACCACTTGTTTCCACCTTGAGCAGTCCCTTTCTCTACCGCCAGTTTAGCAGAACGCAACAGGGATGAAATTGCTTAACCACCATAGATTAAAACAATATCTCATAAGGAATTCAAGAAGTTAAAGAAACATAAAGAAAACCATATGAAATCATGAGATTTTTCACCATTAGCAGAATACATGAGGTGCTTCATGGCTATAATAGGCTAAATTAAGACATGGCATCAGGAATAGGAAAGAAAACAAAGAAAACCAGATGAAATCATGAGAAAACTCACCAAAAATAGCATTTTCCCTAACATCGTCGTGGATGTAGAATTTCAGAAGTGGATCTAAGACTGAAGCAGCCTGTTTCATGCATTCAGCCATAGGGATCATTATTGATTCTTAAATTACTCAACAGCACATGAGAAATGAGAAAGTGATTATTCAAGTCAACCTGGGAAATCCATGGGTAGAAATCTTCCTCCAGTAAGGCAGAAATGATGTCAAGGAGATGACAGGCTATAGATTTCTCCTCTAGTCGGATATTATCTTTGATGCACGTGCTTGTTTCCTCAAACTTGACTATAATGTCCCTGCAAGATGTGAAACTTGAGCAAGATCCTTTGTACTCTACCCGCAGTCTTCGTACTCAGCAAAGCAAAAGAAAGAATATACACTAATAAAATCATATACAGTAAGGTAGGAACTTAACGCTCCTACAGATTCCGAGACTACACATCTGAAGAAGAATTAATAACAGGAACTAGCAAAATAAATAGACAATGAGTTTGATAGATACCAAATCAATATAGATCCGTGGGTTAGATATTTATGATAGACTTACGGAGGTAGAGGAAAAAGTTATGCCACTTCAAGCTATAGATTTAAACATAGATATAAAGGTTCAACTTCACATGTCGAGTACTGAATGGAAACAGTTGAAGAAATGAGCAAAGGCCAGGAAACTGTTCAAATAAATCAAGATGAAACCAAACCAATAGGAAGAAGAAGACAGTATGCAAAAGTAACAAAATAGGCTCGAGAGTGAACGTTTATTATGATGGAAAAGAGAGCAAGAAATGATGGTATTGTAAGCAGATGCTTTAGGGGTTAGGAGCATAATATGACTACTATGATGGGGTACTTTTACAACTTATGGGATTCTTTTGAGAGTTCTACTACTTGATGCATGTTTGATCAATCCGAAAAATCATCTACTGATGAAAAAGACAGCTATGTAAGTCATCACCCAATGGACTCCATAGTTCAGTATTTCTTGATGGCATGTCAGCACAACATCACAATAGAGGCTCGGTTCTGGACTTTAAGGTTTAAAAGGTGCCACACAATAACAAAGTTTGGATGGTTGATTGAAGTGAAACAACTTCATGAATTATGCACAAAAGCTTCAAAAGGTTTAACAAAACAAAAACAGGCATATGCACAGCAGACCAAGTGATATGCAAGTAACAAACTAAACAAAGTGAGCTCAGAAAGGACCTTTAAGAAGAACTGAGAGGATCAAATGCAGATGAAATTTAGTCATTTTCCAGTATGTGTTTTAATATTAGTCGGTCACATCTTTATACAGATGTCAGGAAATCTCTTTGTTTGGTTACAACCTTTGTAAGAGACCTCTTTGAAGAGCTACAATTCTTCAAGAATAACTAGCTGGCACACCTTTTCATTTAACATAAAGGAAGTGCGAGGATGCACGGGAGAAAAATCTGTTATTAATTAAAGTGTTGTACAACCCTATTTATATACAGTGATTACATAATAATAGGTATCTACTTCCCGATGTGGGACACTGTACATGACTAACTACTTAACACTCCCCCTCAAGTCGGTGCATATAAATCATATGTACCGAGCTTGTTACAGATGTAACTAATATGAGAACCAGTAAGAGCCTTAGTGAAAATATCTGCTAGCTGATCATTCGACTTTACAAACTTTGTAACAATATCTCCTAAGAGTATCTTTTCTCTCACAAAGTGACAGTCGATCTCAATGTGCTTAGTCCTCTCATGGAACACCGGATTTGACGCAATATGAAGAGCAGCTTGATTATCACACCAGTTCCATCTTGTTGATTTCTCCGAACTTCAACTCCTTGAGCAACTGCTTGACCCAAACTAGCTCACACGTTGCCATAGCCATGGCCCGATATTCGGCTTTGGCGCTAGATCGAGCAACTACATTCTGTTTCTTGCTCTTCCAAGAGACCAAATTACCTCCTACTAGAACACAATATCCAGACGTAGAACGTCTATCAGAAGGTGATCCTGCCCAATCAGCATCTGTGTACCCAACAATCTGCTCGTGGCCTCGATCCTCGAATAGTAACCCTTTGCCTGGGACTGACTTTATATACCGAAGAATGCGAACAACTGCATCCCAGTGACTATCACAGGGAGAATCCATAAACTGACTTACAACACTCACCCGATAAGAAATGTCTGGTCTAGTCACTGTGAGGTAATTAAATTTGCCAACCAACCTCCTATATCTCGTAGGATCTCTAAGAGGCTCCCCTTGTCCAGGCAGAAGCTTAACATTCGGATCCATAGGAGTGTCAACAGGTCTGCAGCCCATCATTCCAGTCTCCTCAAGAATGTCTAAGGCATACTCCGCTGTGAAATAACAATACCTGAGCTAGACTGAGCGACCTCAATACCTAGAAAATACTTCAATCTGCTCATATCCTTAGTCTGGAAGTGCTGAAAGAGATGTTGTTTCAGATTAGTAATACCATCCTGATCATTGCCAGTAATAACAATATCATCAACATAAACCACCAAATAAATACGCGGATTAGGTCCTTAGGAGCAAAACGTCGATAAAACACAGAGTGATCAGCTTCACTACGAGTCATGCCGAACTCCTGAATAGCTGTGCTAAACTTACCAAACCAAGCTCGAATAGACTGTTTCAAACCATATAGTGACATGTGCAATCGGCATACAAGACCACTAGACTCCCCCTGAGCAACAAAACCAGGTGGTTGCTCCATATAAACTTCTTCCTCAAGATCACCGTAAAGAAAAGCATTCTTAATGTCTAACTGATAAAGAGGCCAATGACGTACAACAGGCATTGACAAAAAGAGACGAACAAATGCTACTTTAGCCACGGGAGAGAAAGTGTCACTATAATCAAGCCCAAAAATCTAAGTGTATCCTTTTGCAACAAGACGAGCCTTAAGCCAATCAACCTGGCCATCCGGGCCGAGGCTGACTTTGACCGCATATACCCAACGACAACCAACAGTAGACTTACCTAAAGGAAGAGGAACAAGCTCCCAAGTGCCACTCGCATGTAAAGCAGACATCTCCTCAATCATAGCCTGTCGCCATCCTGGATGAAATAGTGCGTCACCTGTAGACTTAGGGATAGAAACAGTGGACAAAGATGATATAAAAGCATAATGAGGTGATGACTGATGATGATAACTTAAACCGACATAATGGGGATTAGGATTAAGTGTGGATCGTACACCTTTGCGGAGTGCAATTGGTTGACTAAGAGGAGACAAGTCCACAGTAGGTTCAGAATCTGATGCAGGACGTGAAACACATGGGCCTGATGCTGGACGTGGACGACGATGATAAGTCAAGAGTGGTGGAGCTGCAGAAGGTTGAACGGGACTAAGTGGTGGAACTGGAGCTATAGGTAGTGGAGCTGCAACTGGAGCTGTAGGTGGTGGAGCTGGAGTTGTAGAGAAAGATGAATGGGAGATAGTGACTGAATCTCCAAAAGATGAAACCGGTAGCACCTCAAAAATATCTAAGTGATTACCTGGACTTGTGAAGTATGATTGGGTTTCAAAGAAGGTAACATCAGCGGACATAAGGTACCGCCGGAGGTCAGGAGAATAGCATCGATACCCCTTTTGCGTTCTCGAGTAACCCAAAAATACGCACTTAAGAGCACGAGGAGCTAACTTATCTTTTCCTGGAGTAAGGTTATGAACAAAACACGTGCTTCCAAAGACATGGAGTGGAAGAGAGAACAAAGGTAAGTGGGGAAACAGGACAGAATGGAACTTGATTCTGGATAGCTGAATATGGCATACAATTAATAAGATAGCAAGATGTAAGAACTGCATCTCCCCAAAAACGCAACGGAACATGAGATTGTATGAGTAGGGTATGAGCAATTTCAATAAGATGTCTATTCTTTCTTTCAGCTATCCCATTTTGTTGAGATGTGTACGGACAAGATGTTTGATGAATAATCCCATGAGAGCTCATAAACTGCTGAAATGGGGAAGACAAATACTCTAGGGCATTATCACTACGAAATGTGCCGATAGAAACCTAGGGGTGTTCGTCGGTCGGTACGGTACGGTATTTAGATATTTTGGTTCGGTATTTTCGGTATTCGATTTCTTAAAATGCAATACCAATACTGTACTTAATTAAATTCGGTATGGTTCGGTTTTTCTCCTTCCGGTTTCGGTTTATTCGGTTTGGTAACTTCGGTTTATTCGGTTTGAATACTAACTAGTGCATACAGTCATAGAATGTAATATTCTAAATTAAAGTACTCAAAAGTACAAAACTAAAAACATTTGTTGACAAAAATTTTGTCCAAAACTAGCAAATATCAACTTAGAGAGAGAAAACAGTACATAAAAGAATAAATTTGATCATTAGAAATGTCTTGTTACTTACTTAGAGTTAATTGATAAACTTAGAGAATAAAGGAAAGTAAGATTTTAGATTTTTATATTTATGTTATAACTAATAATATGTGTACTGTGTAATATAATATATATTTCGGTACGGTATCGGTATTTCGGTATTCCATTTTAAAATACCAAATACCATACCTAATACCAATATTTTTTAAAACTTAAACCAAATACCATACCGAATAACAAAATATCGAATACCAAATACCAAAATTTTCGATTTTGGTACGGTAATTCGGTATTTACCAAATTATGCACAGCCCTATAGAAACCCCAAATTGATTTTCAATTTGAGCGTGGAAGGTCTGGAAAATAGAAAACAACTCAGGCCGATTTTTCATCAAAAATATCCAAGTGCACCTAGAATAATCATCAATAAACTGACAAAGTAGCGGAATCCCAAGGTAGAACTTACCCGACTAGGATCCCAAACATCTAAATGGACTAAAGTGAAAGGTGACTCTGCTCGATTATCAAGAGCCGAGGGAAATGGCAGCGGGTATGCTTACCGAGCTGACATGACTCACACTCTAAAGTGGACAATTGAGATAATTTTCTAAAGTTTTGATAGGTGAGTAATCCGATGTCAGTCTCGGGAGAGGGAGCTGTAACACAATCCAGGCCAACACCTCCCAGATGGTAGAAACCAAAATATGATCAAGTCTCAATTTGGATATTCTATTTTAAATGAAGTATTTTGTGTATCATTTATTGAAAATCCAATGCTAGATACTACAGAACGATAGTCCATCATATGAATCCATAATTCGTGCGGTCTTGGAAAATGCAGCATACATATAGCACTCAGATTAACTTGAGTAATTCATTCTAAAAAATTAGCAAACTCAAGCAAGTATTCATGATGGCAACAACATTTCAGATAAATACAGTACCACTTTTCAATGGAATGAGAAAATAATATAGACTATTCTCCATGAGAAGACTATAATACCACAATGTCACTTTGGGTTTTGCTACTTCTACCATTGCATCCTGATCTTTGTGAACAGGAAAAATGAAAAAAAGAAAAAAATAGACAACGTGCAAATCCAACAAAAAGAAAAAAAGTGAACTTTACAAATACAGGAAACCTTACCTATCGTAATCTAATCCATATAATCCAGAGTATGAATGATCATAGATGGTTATATCAAGTTCAACTTGAGCAAGTTGAATCATAAAAGGGATGGCTACCCTCATGTAAGGAAGAAATTCTTTCCCCATGCATAAGAAAATTCTGGCTCCTGCCTAAAATGAAATCAAGAGAATCGAGAGAAGACAATCTAGAGAAAAAGTATGTGCTCGTTAAATCTAGATATCAATACCTACCAAGAATAGATAAATATTACTGCGATCGTCCACCTTCAGTTGTGATCCTAGTAATGACAGAAGTACTTCCATTACCTTGTGACAAAAACAACAAAAAGAAAAAGCTAAGATTTATATATTCAGAAATGACAGAACACAAATAAGTTCCTATATACCACACAACACCAAGACAAGAATCCCAAAGGAGGGAGAATGGAACAGATACTCCAGTCATTTTTTGTTGCGCCAACTATTGAAGGGTGTAGTATATTGTAGAATGTCAAAAAGAATTAATGACCTTACAGAATGTATGCATGTTTAAAGCATGTCAACGGTAGTATCAGAGAATACTCCATAATATTCAATAGGATATTGTAGAATGTTCTTCATCTAATCGTAAGAAATTCCTAACGCTGTTGGCATAGATAATAATTACACATGCATACCATATTTTACATAATTGTATATTCCAATATTTAGAGTCCCTTTTGCACATTATTAATTTTAGTCAAGTAACTCTGGCCTACAAACAGTGGCCTTGCGCTGTGCCTGCCAGGCCAAAATATTCCCTTCTGTCATAACTTTCCTAATCTTTGCCTCTTTCTTATGACCATTCGAGCGGCACAACTCTAGGCCTTTTGACAGGTTTGTCCGATTAATTATAACCTCCATTGCATAGCAGAGCACTCTGTCCTCCACAAGCAATGAGACACGTATTTTCCTATTGTTCTTTTACAATAATTTTTATCTAGAGAAAGCATATGACAAAATCCCAGGGGAGGTCCTATGCAGATGTTTGGAGGATAGAAGTGTTCCTGTAGCTTACACTATGGTGATTAAGGGCATGTATGATGGATCTAAAACCCGGGTGAAGACAATGGGAAGATACTCGGATCACTTCCCAGGTATGATGGTATTACACTAGGGATAAATCTTAGCCCGTTTTTGTTTGCCTTGGCGATGGACACACTGACGTGCCACGTTCAAGAAGAGGTGTTATGGTGCATGTTATTTGTAGAAAATGTAGTACTGATTGACGAGACGCGACGCGGTGTTAAGGCGACGCTGGAGGTTTAGAGACAGACCATGGAGTCTAAAGGTTTCAAGTTGAGCAAGACCAAGACCGAATACTTGGAGTGCAAATTCAGCAACGTGACCCATGAAGCGAACATGGAAATGAGGCTTGATACACAGTCATCCCAAGAGAGGAAGTTTCAAGTACCTTAAGATCTAAGAGAATGGGGAGATAGACGCAGTGTTAAGGCGAGGCTGGAGGTTTGGAGACAGATCCTGGAGTCTAAAGGTTTCAAGTTGAACAGGACCAAGACCAAATACTTGGAGTGCAAATTCAGTGACGTGACCCATGAAGCGAACATGAAAATGAGGCTTGATACACAAGTCATACCAAGAGAGGAAGTTTCAAGTACCTTGGGATCTAAGAAAATCGGGAGACAGACCAGGATATTGCACATCGTATTGGAGCGGGGTGGGTGAAATAGAGGCTCGCATCCCGCGTTTCGTGTGATAAGAATGTGCCACCAAAACTTAAAGGCAAGTTCTACAGAGTGGTGGTTAGACGGACTATGTTGTATGTGTTAGTCTTGTATTTTCTTACTCTTAGATTTCTATTATTAATTGTTATTCTTTCGCTTCAATTTCTTATTATGTTGTTATTACTGCTTGTTGCTACTGCTCTTATTATCAACTGTCCTTTGTGCCGAGGGTCTATCGGGAACAACCTCTCTACCTTCTCAAGGTAGGGGTAAGGTCCGCGTACACACTACCCTCCCATACCCCACTTGTGGGATTACACTGGGTATGTTGTTGTTATCGTCTTTTACAATAATCTTTACTCTCGACATATCAGTCATTTTGCAATTGACACCCCTAGAACCTCCCAAAAGTTCACCCACTTTTTAGAACTACTTAATGCCAAAAAGGATTGGCATTTCGACGATATTCACTACTAGATCTCCCCCATTTTAGCTACACCCCGTTCCCACTGTCCCTTCTGTCAAGAATTAAGGTCCCTCCTATCCACCTCTGTACCTCTTGACAAACCCTTGAGTCTTATGATTCAGAGGATTGGCGTTTCGGCAATATTCACAGCATCTTGGGATGGCTCTTCATAAGACGTTCGGGCTGAGCAGTGGTGCTGAGATTGCAATATAGACTTTGGAATCTAAGGTGGAGCCTTTTTACCATTCTCTCACCTGATGCTCAGACAGGTTCCTCCATCGTTACAACTCAAACAACATAGAACTTTAAGTTCCTACAGAGAAATCATTATCTGTACATGTCGTCCGTAAGTTCATCAGAGAATCGAAGGTTTACCTCTTGTTGAGTCTCTGGGAGTTCCAGAGAGGAGACATTCTTTTTCTAAAACTGGCATATAACATTATCTTCCCAATAATTTATTATTTAGAGCTTTGAAGGTTCTCCTCTTCTAATTAGCTAAATCTCTAATTATATGGATTAATTAAAACATGTTATATTCATTATAACCAAATTTTTAAGAGGAATTTAATGACAGATGTTGACGGGTGAGCAAGATAAGTAATCCAATGCGTAAAACGTGCACACCATGTCTTTGGGGCATAAGGGACTCTAATTGTACAAGTAGTAAAGCATGAATAAGATAAATGCATCAGCTACCGATGTTGATCCCATAAAACTAAAAATCCCATAACCACTCCGCAATGTTATGAAACTGCCTCTCCTCATGACTCGAGTCCCATATTTGTGCTTTAAACATTGATGTCATTCATATGTGACTAGACTAGAAGTATTGGTTACTGGACAAAGTTTGTAGAAGACCTGTTTCGCGTCATCTCTGAATTTCTCTTTGCCAACAGCGAACCCAAGATAGCTTATGGAGTACATTGCTCTGGCCCGACCTAATACATTAGAGTTTCTGTTTGCCATGGCGGTTTTTAAGTACTGCATAACAGTGTCATAGTTTATTCTGCAGTATTCCTGTTGAAGTATAATATGTTACATCCTTATCCTTAATACAAATAGAAACAGGATTAAGTAAAAAAAAAATATCCTTAATATAATCTAGGTAATACCTTAGACAATTTAGCTAAACCGGTAAACACCATTGATGCTGCATCTTGGACCATTTGTTTGTTATTCTGAATTTCAAATAGCAGAAATCAAGAAAATACAACATCAGTCTATTGCACTTGTCAGCATAAGATATTTTTATAATATGGTGGGCTCTATATTTGCACACCTGTTGAAATATAGACAGATTGTTAATCATTCCATCGAAGAAAGGTATCAAAGTTTCTGGCTTAGAGGATGTATAGAACCTGTAGAAAGCAACCGAGGCTTGTACCTTCCAAGAGAAAGTGAATAGAGCATTAAGACGCGTTTGAACCAAATCTTTCAGCTATGACATTTTCAAACTCTAATTAATACTAATCTTGGCATTTTCACACGTGTTGTTGATTAAGAGAAAAGATAATTACTTCGTCACTAGTCTCTTATATCAAAGTTGTTCCACTTTCTTTTAGCCAACAGCAAGATAGCCCTCAAGGTAAGCAAGATAAATTAATAAAATCAAATTTTCCAGCAGCACCCTACTAAGCCTATAAGTTAGGTAACTAACAAGTATTAGTTTGTGCAAGATTCTGGAGGGCAAGTTTCAGAAACATTAAACGCTTGTGATACTAGAACTCATGCCCTATCGAGCATGTTATCCCATTTTGAAATTGGTTTATTCTGCAGCAGCATTTCTCTCACGTTGCAGAAAAACACAAATGACCACGGACCATATATCAAGAACAAGTACAGTGCAGATACATATAGCCAAAAGATTTGTCAAAGTATCCAGAAAATTACATCAAGACCACAAGATCTAAAGCATAACGCTTTAGGACGAGTGATCTGGTATAGAGCCAAATCTCGTACATACAATTAAAGCAAGGGCGTAGTTACCTTTAGTGAGGGAGTTCAATTGAATCCCCTTTGTTGGAAAATATTTGTGTGAAAAAGATGAAAACAAACTTTTGTATAAATATAAATTGTTGAATCCCCTTGACAGAATTAAACCTTAGTTTTGAAATTTTAACATTTTTCTATATCCCCTTGCCACTGCACTAAAGATGTTATTTAAATTATGCCTTAAGCCCATGATTCTCGTCAGTCAAACATACTAGAGTAACAAAGTAAATTAATCAATTATTTTCACTGGTGGATAACGACAAAATCTCAAAAATCAAACAGGGAGTAAACCTATACAAAGTTAGAGATGTTCAACTGTATGATATATGTAATGCCATTGTAAAAGTGCACTAGCTAGAATATTTGCCGATTGTTCCCTGTATGAATGATAATTGAAATTGCATTTGGGAAATTGCAGCATCAGTAAAGGGTTCATATCAGCATAGGACAAAACCTGTATTATTGGATTTTGAAAATCAGCCATAGCTGCAGCTAATGCAGGTAATACTTCATCATGGAATTGTTCTTGCAACTGTGGACAGAAGAAGGTCGAAAACAAGGCAATTGCCCTGATAGCGGCCCATCTTACTCGAGGGTGAGGATCTTGGAAACATTTCAGAACCATGTTCAGGAAATAATTCAGAACCAGTTCCTCCATACTCGTAAGCATCACCTGTAATAGCAAAAAGGACACGGGTTCAAACTTCAACCTAGCTAACCACCAAGGGGGGGGGGGGGGGGGGGTTAGAGAGAGAGAGAGAGAGAAGACCAGAAAGATAACCCCGGCCAATAGAACATATTGCAAGGCATTTGGATTGAGAATAGGGGCATGTGGGGCAAAGTATCTTTGTATACAAATTTTAGTAGCTGGTTCGCCAGCAAAAGCACCTCTTAAATGCTACCATTCCATTCCAGAGTTTAGGTGACGAAGGACTTAGAAAATTTCAGTGTAAATTAGATTAAGTTTCTTAATTCTTTTGATATAAAGTTATATTCTTAGAAATTAGACAAAATTTTCTGTAAAATAATATCTTCCAATTAAAAATATTTATAAATCATAGCCTGAGGGAAACAAAATAAAAAATATAGACTCCTAAAGACTACAGAGGACATGTCAAAATAGTATGCATAAAGATCAAACTAACGCCATAGGAACAAATAAACAACTAAGAATGGAGTAATATAGATTCTATCATTTGTACCTTCGGGCAACATTCAGAAATAACAGCAAGTGCAAGAAGTGCTGCATGGCGTTTCTCCCAGTCAGGGGCAGCCAAGTAAGCAGAGAGCTGCTCTTTAGCAACAGGAGCAATAGTCTTAGCACCTAATGCACGAGACAAGCGATCGAAATAGCAGATCCCAACCATAATGTTACCATATTCCCTAAATGCAACCTTGTGGATATTGTTCCAAGGTGATTCGTCCTCAACATCTTGTAACAACTTCAATAACATAGCAAAACAGTTGCTAGTAAATAATGGTAATTTCTTCATCATGCCGGGAGCTTCCTTTTTCGCCTCAACTAAAGTTATCAGGAACTTAATCGCCGAGTGCCTCGTCTCCTTTTCCAAACTCTCATTCTCTGCTATCTCGAACATGGTAGCCACCACTTCTACTAGTTGCATCCTTAAGAACCTAGGTTCATTCTCAGCAAACTCAACAAAATGTTCCAGCGCTTCCCTGGCAGTAACCTCCTCACCTTTTCTCAATGCTTCTGTCAAGGTCCCCAACAAAGCTGGCAACAAACCCTGATACCAGTCTTTATCGTTTGAACTCGGGAGGCACTGAATGATGTCGATCGCTGCCCTCAGTGCCGCCATCCTCAATCTCATATCACTGCAACCATTCAGTGCACCTAGTAACATATCCTTGATCCAAGGGGCTGATGATAAATCCTCTCCTTGTTTGGCGCACTGGGCAACTAATGACAAAGTAGGCTCTATTACCTTGATATAACTGGACTTGTCATAATATTGGTTGAACAAGCTACATACTTCAGACTCCTTGTTATCTTGGAGGCTTACACAAAGCGTAATGTAAAGGGTCTGGATAATGGATTTTGATTCTTCAATCTTGATACGGTTTAGAAGAATACATTGCACACTGGACCGAGTCGATAGACTTAGATTGCGCCAACCATATCCATCATCCCCGAAAAATAAATTTTGGAGGACGATAGCACACTTAGCACGTGAATCATCAGTGATATGGGGAGAGTCAAGAAGGTTAGCAAGCTTAACAGCAAGCAAGTTCGAATTCTCCTGCTTGATCATGTCCAACATTGACTCAGCCTCAGAGGAGCTCGACATGAGATCCGAGATAAAGGTTTCAAAAGGAACACTAGAGTCAGGCCCAAGAATCGCCTCCATCTGGTCCTTCTGGAACTGAGTCAACTCGCTAATATTCATTACTGTACTGAGAGAGTGGACTATGGAGCTTGTGAGAATGGCGTTTCAGTGACATTAACAGCAGACAAAACTGAATCGTACACAAAATCAGATGAGGCTCCTTTCCAGAGGAGGATCTCTCCAGTTCCTCCAGTTGGTCATTGACTATTGTTAACACTAGCTTTTAACAAGGGTTAATAAACTAGGTGCTATGAGAGAGAGACATTAATTCCTGATTATCTAAATTCACTCTAAAAAACAAAAATAACAAACTAGAAGCATGAATCTCTTACATATATATAAAGAAACAAAGGACAATTTCGTAAAAAGAAAGAGAATGATCTCAGATAGAAGGTTTCAATAATGAAGAGAAAAAGTAAGAAGCAAATCAAAAAATAGTGAATTTCATCAGAAACCCAAAGTTTGCATTCACCATTTTTGTTTTCTTCTTCCCAATGCCAAGTTCGGTGTGGAATTTTCAAGTTATATTACTACAATTCTTGATTTTCCATTTTGTTATTCATACATTTGCTATGTAATGAAATGAAAAGCCCTTACAGCTGTGGGAGAAATCCCAAGTTGAGAATTTTAATATTTCTCTTTGACTTTGGGCCTTTCTAATTTGGAGCCAAGAAAACAAAAAGGCAGAGCTTCAAAATAGTTGACTCTTGGTGCATTCACCTGGCATCTGGCAGCCGAAAGAACAAGTGAAGGATTTTGAGAGGTGAAAGAGAGAAGCTAAAAATAATTTTTGAAAATTAAAGTTATACTTGCACATCCATTATATTTGAAAAAGGAAAATTTCATCCAAAAATTATCCTAAACCAGTTTGGAAACTTAAAATTTTTGAAATTCTTTTCCAAAATATGATTATATTTCATAAACAAATACTCTCTCCGTTTCAAATTAATTGAGTAGTTTGACTCGGCACGGAGTTGAAGTAAAAAAAGAAAGACTTTTGAAATTTGTGGTATGAAAAGCTTAAGGGGTAAAGCTTTGTGGGGCCATGAATTTTGTGTGTTTATAAAAGCTTCTTATTAAGGTTAAAATGAGTAATTTAAACTTGAATTATTTCCAAATTTACAAATGTGTCATTTATTTTGAGAAAGACTAAAAAGGAGAGTACATGAAATGGAGGGAGTAGTAATATTTTTGAAAAAAAAAATTAAAAACTGATATTCTTTTAAGAGCAGAAGCAGTTTTTCTATTTTTGGACAGAAAATATAAATTGTAACTTTTTTCAATAAGCAGAAACAGAAAAATTAAATTATTCCGTGAAAGACAAAATTTCAACATGCAATTGCTCAAATTATTGGGCAAAGGTTCAATAAAAGTATGACTAATTGTCGCGTGTGAACAAACGTAGTTATGGATATAGTACTATTAAATTACTTCTAAGTAATGACCGAACAATAATTCAGCAATAAAGAATATCTAAAGCTGTTGGTTTTGTTTGCCTTCTACTAATAATTGTTTATTTTAATATCCAATTCCTTATTGACTTTTTTTTAGCAATAAGGATAATATATATTAATAATTAGTCATCAAGTCTAGACATATTACAAACCAAAATGTAATTGATGGCACCTACATTTGAACTATTGCCTTCTATGGCATTATCGTTACCTAGAGCAACCAACCTAGTGCATATATAAGGGAAAATATAGTTTACACAAGAAAAACCCTCCAGGTCATGTTGATATGCTGGACTGCATTAGTGCTTTCCTAGTCAAAATGCGTGCCACTTCATTTCCCTGCCTGAAACTATGCTTGAGAGTTACTTGTCCCTTCTGTCTTGCCTGGTGCAACAACCACCTGCAATCATTAATTAAGTTAGTGTGAGTAGGATGATCATTTTCTAGTATATTTATCACCTCTGATGCATCTGTCTCTATTTCCACTGAAAACAGGTTGTGATCTAATATTACTTGTAGACCTTGCTGGAGGGCTTGGAGCTCCACCCGAGTAGCCGATAGAGTGGGCATCTTTTTGTTGAATGCCATTATCCAAGAGCCTGCACTGTTTCTTATTATGCCACCAACTCCTCCTTGACATTTTATTATTGTTGAATGTTCCATCTATTGAACCAACCTTTGGTTGCTTATGCCATATTATTTTAATAGCTTTGTTGGTGATGTTTGTCATACCTTTTTCGGTCATAAAACTTGTATTCTAATGCTTGATTAATAATAGTGGACCATTCTAGCTAGTTGGAAACGGTATTGTTATGGTTGTTGTGACTCCTATTTTCCATATAAGTCATAATGCAAAAGGAAAGATATCTCCCCACCGAAGATATTTATGTGTGAAACTAGAGTTAGTCTTTCTAATATAATCAATCCAGTGGTTATTGGTGTTTAGAGGGTTATAGCTAATCCCATAGGTGCACCATAAATGGTTAATCATGTTGCATCCCAAAAAATATGATGTATTATTTCTTCTCCTTGTTTGCATGTTGGACAAAGTGGGTCAATGTTAATACCTATTCATGCTAGGTATGATCTACTTGAAATTCTATTATGGTAACATTTCCAAATAAATTTTTTATTAGGGTAGTGTAATTTCAAATCCAACTGAAATCCTTTCGACTCTTCTCCTCGTTATCGATGATTTGGTTGCAAGAATTTGTTGATAGTAGGTCATTGGAAGTGAGGCTCCAGATATTATTAATACATGTATTAATACTTCTCCTCATTTTTTCTTAGGGGGCCTTTAATAGCCTTTCTAAGATTCATCACATTTGATATCCAGTTAGATTCTCAAACATTTAAAGTGATTTTGTTGTTTATATCCCATCTGGTACCTATGTTGCAATAGTACCAGCCTTTTAAGATGTTTTTCCAGATAAACGAGTTTATGGATTTTCTCCCAGCACTCGCATATTTACTGGATAAAATCGTAGCCCATAGGGAGTTCGTATTATTAAGCATTCTCCAGGCTAGGCTAGTTAGTAGTGCCATGTTTTTGCATTTTGCTTTTCTAATTCCTCCCCATGCACTTATCTTGTGTAATATAATTCCAATTAAAAAGATGTAATTTTCTTTTTTCTGGGGACGAGTTCCATAAGAAGTCTCGTTGGATTTTATCTATCTCATTATTGACTTTATTTCCATTCAAAATATTAAAAGATATATAGTTCACAATGTATTTTTGAGAAAAAAAAGCATACTAAAATTTGCATCTTCAACGAAACATGCATGGCATTAAATATCACTCGATCGAATAGTATTTAGGTATTTTATGCCAAAAGGGAGAGGGAAAACCCCTATATTGAAATCCAATATACGTAAAGGTGAAGATAATATAGTTTTCATTGTCGATTTAGTTTGATAAACACAAAACTAAACTCCAATGCTTAAATACCAATTTTAGCAAAAATGACGTTTTGAATCACCTATATTATTAGTTTTCGACTTTACGTATGGAAAGGGAAAACAGTGAGTAACAATCTTTGTATAACTTGGGATGATTAATTATGTTTTGCCCTTAAAACAATAGGTGTACTAATATAAACATTAACACACGTATTAAATTAGGAAAATTACGCGACACATCAGACATTTATACTGTATTTACTTTTCGTAGCTATACTTTCAGCAAATTTACCATTTATAGTTATATTTGAATCTTATAGCAAATATATGAAATAAGAGATTAATTATTTTGAACTGAAACAAGTAAGCAACAAGCTCTCGCAACTCAATTGGTTAGAGTGCCTGTTTAGTTAACAAAGGTATTGAGTTTGACTCTCAACAAGAACATTACATTTGTCTGTATTTCCCCTTAGTTCTATTCATTGCGCGAACAGTATACAGTCGATACAAGTTGTATCTATTGTATAGACCCTTGTATGCTACAGTTGATACATATTGTATTTATTGCACGAATGAATACAATTGCATGAATAAATGCAGTTGATACACATTGTATTCGTTGCGAGAACGAATACAGTCGACACAAGATGTATTCGTTGCACGTTTGAATATAAGTGATGCAAGTTAGTTATAATATATTGAATAGTAGCTGATCACGCCCAACTCTAGTCCTAAAAAGGATAAGCGATCGCTGCAAATATAATCCGGTTTACAAGTCCGGAGTCGAATCCCACAGAGAACTAAGGCTTAGCTATAGTTGTTCAATATCGCTAAGAAATACAAGCCCAAACAATTTCCTAATTATAAAAGATTATAATGTTTATTTTTTTATCCAATTAACTAACAAATACTAGAAAGCAATAAAACTATCAATTAACAAGGATAAGGGTTGGAGTCGAGATTAAGGAGGTCTAGAGTTATGATTTTCCCAATTGTCGGAATCCTTCCCGCTACGTTTTCTATAAATTCGCCTAAGTATTCTCTACCGATCATGAGCACTCTTATTACCGTAAATCTCTCCCGAGTAATTACGACAATTTACTAGACGCACTCTCCCGAGCTACGCTAGCTGGCTTTTAATACAGCTCACTTCAGATCGCACCCAAGGCTTCGTTATCCCTAATCCCGCCTTTAAACCCTCGGTTATTAATCCCTCATATACTTTGGGAGTGGTGTTGTTCAATAATTACCTAAATATGCACTCTCTCCCGAGTTATGCATACTAAATAGGCACAGCTAATTGAGAGCTCTTCAACCAACCACAATATAAATGTAGTTGAACAAATAGAGAAAAGCTATGGCTCAATTATATAAAAACATAACAAGAATTTATCCTACAAAATATTCTATCAAAATTCTAGATAACAAATTAGCTATTCATAATAGTATGTAAAACTACAATACTAAAAGTCATAACCAACAATGAAAAATAGGAAGAGGAAGGAAAAACTCGTAGAAGAATTCTCCGCCTTGCTCCCAATGTGTTCTTGCCTCCTTAGGTCGAATCTATGTCCAAAATATGTCCCCTCCTTGTTCTTGGCCGGCCTCCTTTGTTTAATATAGGGTTTAGGACTTAAAATCCCATATTTTGCACTTTAGTCCCTGAAATTTTTGCTTCCTGCCGCGGTCCCACCGCGGTCGCGGTCAAACCGCGGCCAAACATACTCTCTGATTCTTCAGTTGTCCGCGAGTACACTCTGCCGCGGTTCCACCGTAATCGCGGTATTTCACCCTCTTCCGTTTGGAATTTGGAAAAACATAAAACATGAAAGTTGTAGCCCTTTGAGTTATCTTTCCAACCATATATTGTGGAGCCCAAATGGAGTTCTGAGCAAAAAGTTATGTCTATTTTACTAGATAGTGCGCAATATGCCTCCTCGAGTCTTCGTTCGTACTTAATTATCAAATTTGACCCCCAAACATGATCCCGGCTTAATTCCTTGAACTTTTACTCAAACTTTAAAGCTCCAAATCACTTAAATGCATTCCATAACATCTATATAGCTCGAAATCACACCTACAAGGCATAAAACACACAATTAGTGCAAAACACTAGCGATTAAAGCTCAAACTCAATTAAAGTGCAGTAAACTCGAGTGTAATAAGCGACTAAAATATGCAATTATAGCCTATCATCAGTAGCTACGAATGGTAATTAGGCAAATTATAATTACTTGGCTCTAACTTATAGTGGTTTAGGAAAATTTCTCAATTAAATTATGGGTAAAAATATACCACTTAAAATCCTGTAGTAACTTATTTGGATAAAACTTGAGCTTTTCTTAAAATAAATACTATGCATACATTGTTCCTTGGTATCTTGCAAATTAATGTCCATTTCTTTCTCATATTAATTAACCCGATCATTCATTCATACAATAAAAATGCATCCATCTAAAACAAGCCTGGAAGAAGAAGATAGAAATTAAACAAACAAAATTTAACATAATCATAACTGAAACAAATGATATTAAATGAAAACAAATTCGGCATAATAGAAATTGAGAAAAAGTCGAAGCTTTAGGTTACTATTCTATAATCTATCGACCAACTTATTAAGGTAAAAAAAGAAAAAACAACACCTCTTCTAAATTCAGTAACTAATTTATTCTCATACTCTGACTAACTCATCCATGGCTGCATTCATCGGATTAAATTTTCTTCAATCTACCACGCACATTTGACAAACAGTATGAAAATCTTCATTCAAGAAAGTACACCTGTCACATGCCCACATACCTGAATCATCAACAGCAATATTACTCATTTGTAATTCCCTTTTTCTCTTGTATTCTTCTGGATTCACATCAATGAGTCCATTTTCTAAGGCCGTAACCAACTTGTCAAAGTAATTTCCAGTAACTTTAGTCAGACCAATGAGTTTCGAACGAAAAAGTTCATAATTCTTATAAGACCCTTGCTCAGTATAATCCAATTTCTTAGTAGATCTAAGATGATCTAATAATTCTTGCTCTACACAATGATGAAGTCGCTCTAGACCTGCCCCTGCCTCCCTTTGCAAATACTCGAAAAATTGTGTTTTCGCCTTATCCTCTTCAGGTAAATAAAATCCATAAGCATAAGACCATTTCAAGACTCTTCTACATTCAACAATTTGTTGCCAAGCTTGTATAATGAATTCCAATTGAGTCTCAGGTAAAGAGTGTAATTCACTTAGCTTTTTCACTCCTTCATTTTTCATCTCATTTAAATCCTTTAAAGCTTGTTGTTTTGACTTCTCATTTGACACCCATCTCTCATAGTAATGTATGTACCTTAGAATATTTTTCTTGGCTTCTTTTACCTCTTTGTTTTCCTTAAAACCATTACATCCACCAATACAAGAGCCCCATTTTGTCAAACAAAGCCAACAAAAGTCGTAGTTACACACACAAGTCATATGCATACATCCTTTATTTTTCTGAATGGATTTATTACACTGAGGACATTTCTTAGTGAAAGTCAAAATCCATTTCATATTCACAGCTTCTTCAAAATTCCTCGTTTTCCATTTTTCTATAGTGTCACATTCAATCGGTCGATGAATTTCGTCCAAGCAATTCCAACAAAAACCATTAGAACAATCACAAATCACATCATAATTTTCACTTCCAATTTCAAATTCCACTGCATATTCACATCCAGGAGCAGGACACCACTTAATCTTCCTATTTTCTTCAACATAAGATCTAAACATATAATCATAATACTTCAATTTATCTTTCTCACATACTAACTTAACAATCATACTTTCACCTACCATCATATTACAAGATGGATCAGGACAACGTAAAACAAGACATTTAGGACCATCATTAATTGACGTACTAATGTAACATTCCCAACATCCTTTACAAAAAGGATGTTGTTTACAAGCAGCAAAAGCAATATTATCAACAGTATATTCATCAAAACAGATCCCGCAATTGACATTATCAGAATCCAAACACTTAGTTTCTTCTTTCTCCAATATTAACATACCTATAGCCTTACTAACCTCGAGTTTATTAGCGAACCATTCTTCGTTAGCTTTAGTCATGTTCCAATTATAATGGAGAAGAAGAGCCAAAGCAACGTCTCTTTTAACCGAAAGAATCGTTATAGTTTTCGATATATCATCGTTGATGAGTTGATGAATGTCAGTATCCTTCAATATTGTGTAATCTTTCTCATTATCTGAGTTGATAATTGGTTCATCACTGAAAAAATCTTCCTCCTCCTGCTCCGGCTCAGAATCCATATCATAAATATCATGATCGGAATCCATTAGTAAAATTTTGATAATGCTGAAACTAGAAAGACAGTACTAATAAACCCTAGAGAAGTTGTAGGGCTTTTTGGAGGAAAAGAAGGCTTGTAGGGTACGTATATGTTTATGCTTTAATAAGGTAATTTAATTTAAGAGATAAATATGTGCTTGAAGCCCAATAAGAGACAACCTAAACCAGAAAATATATACTAGTACTATATTACAAAGGCCACTATTTATGTTTTATTCCCTTTTTTAAAACCTTTGCAAAACCTAAACCATAAAAATACGGCATGTCCGTTTTTTATGCCAACACTGTCTGTATTTGTCCACTTTATTATAAAAACTTTGCAAATTATAACCTCCTCTTTATTATGTGGTCTGACACATATAGTAATGTGAGAGGATATCTAACAATGACCTGATATATGTATCTTAACATGTAATCAAAGGTTTCACCATCTCAAAACGAGGTTTAACTTTGGCATGCCTCCTTGTTAGGGAGCACTCTCCCTGAATGGGGTCCTACGCGGTGCGAATTCGATAATATTCAGACTCCAATGCGGGATACCGAGTGGGAAATTAAAAAAAAAAAAACTTTTGATGATTAACAAACGAAATGTGAGCTTGTGTGAATAGGATTCTAGACTGCATTGAAGAAGCTCTTGATTATCATCTGTCTTTAAAAATGTTATTATCATCTGGATAGGAAAGAGGTACCATTTTTTTGATATTATCGTAAGAAGGAATTTTATTTCTTGATCAATTTCCATCCAAAAACGATATTTTGAAAAGTATTGCCATATCCCACAAATAATTATTGACAACAGTAAATAATTATTTTATTGTAAATAAAAAAGTAAATAATCCTTCTGGGTCACAAATCTGTCTATTGTATTATTAAATGGAACTTGTTAGTAAATTGTATTCGAAAAATAATTCTGGAGAAAGGAAATAAAATAACGTATAAATAAAAATGTAGAAGAAACATAATTTAATCCGAGCCTACTGAATTAACAGTGTTTCCTTAAGGAACTTAATCCCCTCTTAGTATCCCGAAGTTGTGGATTATTTCCTCCCAGGATAGAACGAATTACACACTGGTGTAGCGGTACTTGAAACCCCAGCGTTTCAGCGAATACAATGATTGGTAGCAAATCACACTTACTGTTGCTTTCTTTGTAGTTAAAACAATGCAGAAGAAAGGAGGAGAATTCAGAATTTTGTATGAAAAATCTGAGAGAATGCACTGTTATTTATAGCCAACATGTTGAGTTCAAATGAAGAGGTGCAATTCTTCAGAGGTCAGTTATGACTGTTCACGTAAAACGACCATAACGTAAATGGCCATTTACACAAATTAAAACGGGAATACAAACGCAGAGGAAACTTAATTTTTCGTTGCAAAAAACGGATAATTTGGATTCAATATTAATTTTCCGTTACAAAAACGGATATTTAATAATATTACGTTAGTATTTACTATTAACAAATAAATTTGGTCCAAAAAATTAATCAATCAATCATTTGACCGAAGCCGAAGCCGAGCGACGATGACGGCGCAAAGCTTGCCTTCTTCTTAACTCTTTAAAAGCTAGAAGAAGAGCAATTATATGTATACCCGTCAAAAGTCTTGTCCTCCTCCAATATGGGACATGACCCTTTGTCAATTAGGAAACTCAAATATTTTATTTTCTCTCCATTTCCTATTCACCCTCTTTTAAGCTAAAATAAGCTTAAAAAACCCAACAAATGGCGTCTTCTCTTATGGTTTTCTTTCAGTTTCAGTAGTATCTAGTTTGGTAGTTTACTCTGTTTGGTCACGATTTTGCTGTGTTCGGTAAGTTCACTCTGTTTGGTCATGACTTTGCACTATGATATTGTTGATATTAAATCTTGACCTAGATATTGTTAACATAAAAAACTACTACTAACTTTTAGTACTACTATATTATGAGAATTTGAATATATTAAAATGATTGACGTCAATTTATGAGTTTTTTTGTCACTAGAAAAATCATGCAATTTAACCAACTCTCAAACAATCCTAAGTTGTTGGTATAATAAACAGAGAGCTATACTGCTGAGTTCAAACATCGCTTACCATTCAAACTAATATCATTAAATCGTTCTTGGTACAAGAAACAATGAGCTTTAAATTAGAAATACAAGCTTGACCAAAAAGTAAAAAGTCAGTCCGATTTCGCGTTCACGCACGATTTGATGAAGGGTCGCATCCAAAAGGGTGTGATATAGACAGTTTACCCTAATGCAAGCATTAGTACTAGATGCTTTCATGACTCGAACGTTTGACTTATAGGTCACACGGAAACAACTTTACCGTTACTCCAAGGCTCCCTTCAAGTTTGACCAAAAAGTATGCTTGAGATATGAAACAACCCAAGCTTTAGATTACTGAACTGAATACATATGAAATTTAATGAAAATAAATTGTGCATGAAAACATGGAGACAAACCAAACTTTAGACTACTAATACACAATCTCTCACTTAACTTTTTAAGCTTAACTAAGAAAACAAAAATACTTCTTCTAAGTTCAGTATCTAATATTCTTAAACTCTACACAACTGTTTGGATTTAATTTGCTTAATTTAAGAAAGTGCATCTCTCACTTACCCTTTTTCCTCTTGGATTCTTTTGAGTTTTTCACATCTTTGAGCCCATTGCCTAAGGCAGTAACCAAGTTCTCAAAGTAATTTCCAGTAACATTATAACATTATGCATCTACAGCTACAAATTCTTAGCTATGAATATAAAAATTGTGGCTATTAAAAAATTAGAGTTTTGTGGCTATTCACAAATTGGTGAAATTTCTTAGCTACAAAAATTAAATTGACAAAGCTAATACCTCATTTTTGCTATAGTTAATTTATGTCGTGGCAATAACTGCCTAAATAGCAACAAATTTATTGCTACACTCAAATTTTGTAGCTAATTAGTAGTTTTTGCCACGTGTTTGAACTATTGTAACAATAATAACCATTTAGCCACGGCAAATTATGTCAAATAAAATATCGAACATCTTTGCTTCAAGTTATAAAAAGCATGGCAATAGTGGGGTCAATAGCTACGATGGAATATCATGGCAAAATGATATAGCCACAAATTTATATAGCTACAATAAGTATTGTAGCTAATTCTAGTTTTTTGCTATGCATTTGCCATCACTGTAGCTATTATAATATTCTAGCCACAACATATTTGTTTGCACATAATTTTATAGCTAAAAGAATAGTCTTGCTTTAATTTTCAAAATCCGTAGCAACTGTTGGGACATAATAGCTATATTTATATGTCATAGTAGCTACATGTATTACAACATTCGTGTTGAAACCGTGATGTGCTGAAATTATATACAACATGGAATCTACATGGTTCAAAGATGCTGAAAACAATTCATACGCAATTACAAAGGTGGTTTACTGTGGGAGTAAACAATGCCACCATTGAAGAATTAATATCAACAAATATAGTTATTCATGCGTGCTATACATATTTTAATCTTAAACGAGTAATCTTTTCGTTGTGTTTCTACCAACCACTACCCTAAAATCTGGAAAGTAGAAATGTCTCCTCTTGGTTAAAATTGCTGATTTTCGAATTCAGACACTGATTGAAATCATACCAGAAAAGGAACTAGAGTTAACAGAAGCAATCCCATCACAATCTCATAACATTCATCCCATATATTCCCTTATGAATCCCATTATAAGGCAGAACATGAGTTTGAAATTCGTACTAAATTTATGTTGTCCATGCCTGAATTTTCATTAAACAAAGAAGCATAAAAATTAACACACTTTAATTGGAAGGACAAGCAACAAAGCTCAGGCTATTAACGGCATTGCCATGAGCAACGGCTAAAGCTCACGTTTTGAAATTCTCACCTGATCAAATAAGAAAAAGTATTAACATTAATTGAGTACAACCAAATATGCATCTAAAACTTCTAAATATTTACAGTAAAAAATCTTCATCATCAGTTTCAGGTTCTGATTCGATGTCTTCAATAATATCATCAGCTAAGGTAACATCAGTACTAATAACATCGAGATTATTTCTTCTGCAATTCATAAAGTCTTCATCTTCCTCAAATGTACATGAGAAATGTTGAGCATCTTGTTGAAAAGTTTCTTCACTGACAGCACCATCAGTAAAATAAGTAGAATGACCATTCAAGACAATGGACCAATTAGGACGAATATTATCCTTGACATAAAAAACTTGTTCTACTTGAGATGCAAGTACAAATGGTTCATTTGTTGCTAGCTTTCGATTAGTATTAACACTAACAACGCCGTGTTTATCTATCTTCACTCCTTTCCCAATGTGATCAACATCCAAACAATCACATTTAAATAAAATAATCTGTTTACCTTCGAGGTATTGAAGTTCTACTATTTCAGTCAGAACACCATAATAATCTATATTTTGACCATTCATTAATCCTCGTACTAAAACACCACTACGTTGCTTCACTCTGTTTCCTTCGAGTTGTTTAGTATGAAACCTAAAACCATTTATTTCATACTCTTTGAATCTTTGGATAACCATCAAAAGGACCTCTAGCCAAAGAATACAACCCGCAACTTGCATGTAATTTTTTTTTCTTGCACAATCTGCATAAAAATAAATAAATAAACTAATGATGCTAAAGAAGTACTATAAATAACATTAAAAATACAGTGAAAACTTACTCGATGGAAAAACTAATCATCGAAGTTCATGTTCCTATTGTTCTGCTCGTACTCACTTTTTAAAATAACCATAATAATGAGAAAAGGCTAACAAAATTAAATTCACAAAATATAATACCATAAAGAAACAACAACAACAATAATATACCGGTGTAGTTGTAACGACCCGACCGGTCGTTTTGAGAATTTGCACTTCGCTTAGTGATTTGAGGGTATGAGTAGCTCCGTATGATGTATTATGACTTATGCGAATCGTCGGTTTTGGTTTTCAGGTTACTCGAAATTGATTTGGAAGAATGA